GACTCAGCGGCGTGAGAGTGGTGCGGTCCCTAAAGAAGGAGCGAGACGCTCCAGAGTCAAGGGTGAAGGTGTGAGAGGCCGAAGCCGACACAGTACCTAAGAGGGCAGACTCACCAGTACCTGAGAGCACAGACGCACTGGCACCTAGAGCAGCAGCCTCACTAGTACCTGACGCGGCAGTACCAATGCCCGGGTCGGGCGGGAAACACCGGTAACAGTCATCCTCATCACTACCAGTCACAGCATACATAGCAGAGAGAATAGCATCAAAATCAAGATCATAAATAGCTACACCAGCCCTAGACAGCTCTCCCCAGCGGGGGATCTCAGCGGCCTCCGGAAACTGCTGACGCCAGGCGTCGGTCAGGCGGCCAAAGCAGCGGCAGGCTGTGTGGGCGCCTCCACACCTCTCCCCTGCACGGTCACCTGTGCGAAGAACGTAGGGGCAGGGACCAAGCGCACCACCACGCTGACGCTGCAAGTACCACTCACGGAGCTGCTGAGGGCCGGGGACGGTGCGAGAGCGCTGCTGCTGCTGTGGCTGCTGCTGCGGCTGCTGCTGCTGCTGCTGCTGCTGCTGGCGCTGACCACCCCCAGAGCTGCTCCGCTGGGACGAGCCACTCCGACCCCCGCCTCCACCGCCACCCCCGCCTCCACCGCCACCCCCGTCTCCACCGCCACCTCCCCCACCAGGACCGTCGCTCCCACCGCTCCCACCGCCTCCTCCGCTACCACCTCCGCCGCCACCTCCGCCTCCACCGCCGCTACCAGTACCTCCACTCCCGCCACCACCCCCACCGCCACCCCCACTCCCCCCGCCACCCCCACCGCCTCCTCCACCGCCCCCTCTAGCACCACCCGCTCCCTTGCCCCCTTTGCCCTTGCCAGAGCGGCGTCTGCCGCTGGGGGCAGACGCCGCGCCGACCGACTCAAAACCAGTGAGGTCGGCCGCAGCGGCAGAGGCGACAGAGGGCAGCAGGGGGGAAGGACCACACCCCTCAAAGATGGGGGTGCGAGGGTCACCCCGAGAGGCCCCTACAGCGACAATACTCTTCTCAGCCGCTAGCAGGGACTCCTCAAGGAGATCGACAGTGAGAGTGGTGGGACAGACAGAGAGAAACTGGTCCCTAACGGCACGAAGGGACTCAGGGAGACGGGTGACGAGAAAGTAGAGAGTGATGTACATGGGAGGAGGGTTCGCAGCGCGGAACTCAGCAGGAAGGGCAGCGCGGTAGCGGGTGTCACTAGCACGGAGGTGGGTAACGAGGTCAGCAACAGTGGGAAAGGAGGCGAGGTCAGGGAAGAGAAACGGTAGCATGAGGCGGCCAAGGGTAGCGGAGGAAGGGGAGGAGTAGCGTGCAACTACAGCGTCGTACAAGGCCTGAGCGGTCTTGCACTGACTAAAGTGGGCACGCTCAGAGGAAGGGAGGTGGCGACGCACAGCAAGACGTGCAGCAGCATCGCGGGTCGCCCACTTGGAGCGAACGGCAGAGTCAGCATCAGCAGGTGGGGCAGGGACAGCGCCAGAGACAAAGTCAAAGAGAGAGACCTCATCTATCGCATCACATAGTAAGTACAGCTGCAGGTCTTCAATCCAGACGGCAAAGTCAATGGCCCTCCCCTCAGCGTCAAAAGTAAGGACATTGGGGGTGGCCATGGCAGCAGCTGAAAGTCTCACCGGGCTGGGAGAGTCGGGTAGTGCTGCAGCAGAGGAACACAGCTCAGGAACAGCGGCACGGCTCGGGCGGCTCGGGTTGCTGGGGCGGCGCGGGCGGCTCGGGCGGCTCGGGCGGCTCGGGCGGCTCGGGCGGCTCGGGCGGCTGGGGCGGCTCGGGCGGCTCGCGCGGCTCGGGCGGCTCGTGCGGCTCGGGCGGCTCGGGTTGCTGGGGCGGCGCGGGCGGCGCGGGCGGCTCGGGCGGCTCGGGCTGCTGGGCTGTACGGGCGGCTCGTGCGGCGCTGGTGTCGCGACGGGCGGCTCACTGGCGGCTCGCGGGCGGCTGCACAGGCGGCTCAGGGACGGCGGCGCGGGCGGCTCAGGGAGCTCACGGGCGGCTGCGACGGGCGGCTCGCGGGCGTCGGGCGCTAGGGCGTTGGGGCGACGGCGGGCGGCGCTCAGGCGGTCGGGCGGGCGGCCGTAAGGGTGAAAGGGCGGGCGGCGCTCGGGCGCTAGGGCGGGCGGCCGGCCGTCAGGGCGCTCGGGCGAGTGGCGCACGGGCGCTAGGGCGGGCGGCCGTCAGGGCGCTAGGGCGAGCGGCGCTCGGGCGCTAGGGCGGGCGGCCGTCAGGGCTCTAGGGCGGGCGGCGCTCGGGCGCTAGGGCGGGCGGCGCTCGGGCGCTAGGGCGGGCGGCGCTCGGGCGCTAGGGCGGGCGGCGCTCGGGCGCTGGGGCGGGCGGCCGTCAGGGCGCTAGGGCGGGCGGCCGTCAGGGCGCTAGGGCGGTTGGCGCTCGGGCGCTAGGGCGGACGGCCGTCAGGGCGCTAGGGCGGGCGGCCGTCAGGGCACTAGGGCGGGCGGCCGTCAGGGCACTAGGGCGGGCGGCCGTAAGAGGAGGGAGCAGTGGGAGCGCGACGGTAGGGGCGACACGCAGGGTCGCTAGAAAAAAAAAGGAACGCGCGCCTCGGGGCGCGCTTCGGTGGGCCCTAGGAACAGTCCCTAGGAGGGGACCTGCTCTGATTCCATGAGAAGAATTGAACGAGAATGAATGAACTATGAATGAAGTGAGTACAAATATGAAACCCTAATTGGGTTGTACCCCCTATGGGATACCCCACTATAGCCTACACAAATAAGTAAGCTATAATGTTCTGACAGCCAGGCCCTCAGATTCACTTTTAGGCAGGTAAGGGTATCAGGGTCCCTTTGCCCCTAGACCCTGATCGTCAGGGTCGCCTAAAAAAAAGCCTGAAAGTTCAGTGTTACTTAAAAAAAAGTCTGATGCATCAGTGTTCCCTACAGAAAAAGGCTGATACTAGTACGGTAGTCTTTATTTTACTAGTAGTAAAAACACTAGGAAGGAAGCAAACAGCAGAACGGGATGTGAGGCTGGATGGCAGGTAGCACGGCTGGGAGGCGTGGATGCATCAGTGCTTGCCAGCACGACCTAGACCGCCAGAATCCCTCGCAGCGCAGCCTGCCAGCATCTCTGTGCTGCAACCTTGTAATCGGCCAAGTCACTTAATGTTGCAAATGTGGCCAATGAACGGACCAGGCGCGCCAACTAAGGGGCCATCAGTGCAGTGTGGGCAAAATTGTCCGATACCGTATTCTCCCGGACATAACACCCTAGGGTATAGCTAAAAATACAGGGAAAAAATGGGGGGGGGGTCTCCTCGTAGGAAAAAAATACATAATACCCGGGTCTTTACATATGGCATATTTTAGTGTTAGTGTTTTTTTAATTAGTCAATGTGGGTGTTTTGCTGGTCGTTTTAGCATCACTGCCTGAGGCGCGAATGTGAGTTTCGGCCTCGAACTTCATGGCCCCCACGAAAATGACATGTGGCACCTCTCTTGCCACTTGCAACGGAAGATTCACCTGCACGTGGCGACAGAGAAATAGTGGGAGGGGGCAAATCTCGGCAGATTGCCTTTGAATGTACCGCGAAATTTCATTGAGGGAGAAATTCACACGATATTCTTCCATATTGCAGCTACTCGTTAACGACTATAATAATGAATCCGTAAGAAAAGGGGGGTGTTATAGAAAATCAGCCAAAAAGGGGGATATAGTAGAAACGAGATCTATCATAACACCCACCCCGCACAAGCTACCCGGGGGTGTACAATTATGGGGGGGTGTTTTGTCCGGGAGTATACGGTAGTCAACGACAGGCCCTGCTGACACCGCGGGAATCTGATTTTCCCAGTACTTCCGGTCAAGTACACTCGTACCTAGTAGGATTCGCTTTCAGGGTCAAACTCGTTACAACGTAAAGGCATCAGTGTCACTTCAAAAAAATTGCTGAAAGTTCAGAGTCATGTGGCATGTGAAGGCTGAAAAATCAGCCCTAGGAAAAGCTGAACACTGGATTTTCAGGGTAGGTAAAAAAAAAACCCTGAAAATCAGGAATTTCAGGGTATAATTCCTGATATCGTAGGGCCTGGCAGAGGCGTTCATGCAGAGTTCTAGTAAACAGAAAAACCAAGTCACTTTAGCAGTGTCAACACAACACTTTGGCAGTATAGTGGAGCCGAAGTGGTGGTGGACCATGGTGGGTTTTACACAGAGCACACAAGACATGTCACTGACATACGGTACCCTATGTGCTCCTGCTGCATCCCTGAACCACACAAGATACTTGAAATAGTGTGTGGGAAGAGAAGAGGAGCAAGCAAGGCAAAGGGCTCGTACAGATGCACGTGTGGCACTGCACACGACACGAGCAAAACAAATTTCTGCTCATGACTGGGTGACGCGTCACACAGATCTCCGCACCGCCCTATGAAACAAACATTGTCAACGGGGCTCGCTCCCTCATCTCACCCCCGTGCTCTCACAGCAGTTGCATTCCCTGCTTCCTCCATCCCAATGCCGGTAGCGCCATTCGCCACAGCATCACTGCCACCAGGAGCAGCAGCAGTCCTGCCAGAACCAGAAGCTGCTGCCACACCACCACCAGCAGCAGCAGCAGCAGGGGGGGCCGCCCCAGCAGCACCAGCTGCAGCCAGCTTCCTCTGATTGGCCACAGCGAGCTTCGCAGCCACTTGTTCGTCTGTGAGAGGCAGGAAGTAGATCTGCGGCTTGGCCTTGGTCCTCCGAAACAAGTCATCCAGCGATGGCAACGGGTCCGGCTCTGCCTCTGCTGCCTTCCTCGCTGCTGCCGCTGCAGCAGCTGCCACTGCACCCACGCCTGCCATTGCTGCTGCAGCTGCCGCCGCCGCGGCTGCTGCGGCAGCGGAACCGGAGGTAGGGGCTGCTGCTGCCCCAGAACCGCCTGGCCCTGCTCTCCTCTCACTCGTGCTCGCTGTGCCTGCTGTGGCTGCTTTTGCTGCCTTTTCAGCCCTATCTTGCGCAGATGTTGCTGCTGGGGGCGCTGCTGCCTTGGCTGATGAGACGGGAGGGGTGCACGGAACAAGACACAAGCAAGTGGCGAGAACTCGTGAGAGAAATCACACTGACAAGAGACAGAGGTCATGGAAAGTTAAATGAAAAGAAGGAATGATTCCAAGAAAGCCCTAACACGCAAAACATGAGAACTGTTAAAGAGCCACAAGGGTTTCTGCTCGACCTGTATATGACTCACTCTCAGCAGCAGGGGGAGCTTCTGTCCCCTTTGCTCCTGGCTTCTCCTTCCCAGCGCCAGCAGCGCTAGCTGCACCCGCTTTGACATCCACAGCAGCAGCAGCCACAGCAGGAGCAGCGGAATTGGCAGCCGCACCAGCCGCAGCGGCAGCAGGAGCAGCAGCAGGAGGAATGGGAAGGCCGTTAACCCGTGCCAGGACCTCCTCTTTGGACACGAATCTGGCTGTGAGCAAGTTGCCTCCCCTCAACGGAAAGCGCAACCCCCACACCTCTGACCGCGCTGCCTTTGCCTCTTCCACTGATGCAAACTGTGGAGCGAGGTGCGATTTTTGGGTGAGAGGATAAGGTTGGAGACGGGGAACAGAAGGGGTGGAGAATGGGACTGGAGAAACATAGTGAAAGAATGGCGGCAAGTGGGGAGTGGTGGAGGATAGAAGCAGAGCACGGAAGTGCAGAACAGAAACTGTGAAAACCAAGGTCGTTTCTGGAGAGTGGCAAGAGGTTGGCCAAAACAACTAGGCAGCAATAGGAAATGACACTAACGGCAAGAGGTTGCCAAGGCCAAGGACGCAGGAAGGCAAGGGGGCAGAGCAACTGGATGGAAAGCAGAGAGGCAGGGAGGCGGGGAGGAATTGGGGTGGATAGGAGACGCACGGAGACGTAGCAGTGGGTGCGGATGCCGTCCATCCAGTAGTGCAGCAGCGAGCGGCCGTTGTTTGCGAGCAGGTCCTTGACCTGCTGCTGCGTGAAGGGGCGCACAAAGTTGTCTATGCGCAGCGACTCCGTCACCGGCTCCACTGGCGGGGGCGCTGCCATGCTCACACACACGCACACACACCGTGCCAACCAATCACACACACACACACACACACACACACACACGCACACGCACACGCACACGCGCACGCGCACGCGCACGCGCACGCGCACGCGCACGCGCACGCGCACGCGCACGCGCACGCGCACGCGCACGCGCACGCGCACGCGCACGCGCACGCGCACGCGCACGCGCACGCGCACGCGCACGCGCACGCGCACGCGCACGCGCACGCGCACGCGCACGCGCACGCGCACGCGCACGCGCACGCGCACGCACACGCACACGCACACGCACACGCACACGCACACGCACACGCACACGCACACGCACACGCACACGCACACGCACACGCACACGCACACGCACACGCACACGCACACGCACACGCACACGCACACGCACACGCACACGCACACGCACACGCACACGCACACGCACACGCACACGCACACGCACACGCACACGCACACGCACACGCACACGCACACGCACACGCACACGCACACGCACACGCACACGCACACGCACACGCACACGCACACGCACACGCACACGCACACGCACACGCACACGCACACGCACACGCACACGCACACGCACACGCACACACACACACACACACACACACACACACACACACACACACACACACACACACACACACACACACACACACACACACACACACACACACACACACACACACACACACACACACACACACACACACACACACACACACACACACACACACACACACACACACACACACACACACACACACACACACACACACACACACACACACACACACACACACACACACACACACACACACACACACACACACACACACACACACACACACACACACACACACACACACACACACACACACACACACACACACACACACACACACACACACACACACACACACACACACACACACACACACACACACACACACACACACACACACACACACACACACACACACACACACACACACACACACACACACACACACACACACAACATGCCATCAATCAGTGGGGCGGCAAAGCCCGCAATGGAAGGGAGAGAGGACAGAAAGTTGGACTTTTGAGTGGACTCTGTCTGTGGGCAACGGCTCCTTCACTGCCACCAATGGAGGGGGCGCTGACATCCAATAGCACACATACACACACAGTGGGACCTGTGGGGCGGCAATGCCGGCAGGAAAGGGAGAGGGGAGGGAAGGGCGAGGGTAAAAGATCGATTGTGTGTTGCTGTATTTTTAGTAATGGGCCGGGGCATCCCTAGTCGTGTTTGCCATACGTACACCCCAAAAACTTCACAATCTGACCCACTGGATGTTGGAGCGGAAAATGTTACTGACACAGAATACTGTATGAAACGAGACTCATGCCCCGTTACGTATACAATGACAACCTTAAGTATGAACTTTCTTCCTGGCCAGCAACGTTTGCTCGATTGAACGACTGCAAACAGTCATTGGCATTACCTGATTGCCCCAGGAATTGATTCGGTAGGAACCATTGCTAAGGAGGCCAGCATTGGCTTATAGAGTTTGATGACTCAGCAAAACCCCAAAGCGTTGAGAGAGGCTAAGCAAAAGGGGAACTACCTTTCCAGTGGGGTGGTAAATAAACAAGTGTGCAAGGGGGATGGAGCAAACGACGAGGGGGAGAGCGAGAAGAGGCAGGGCGAGAAGAGGCAGGGCGAGAAGAGGCAGGGCGAGAAGAGGCAGGGCGAGAAGAGGCAGGGCGAGAAGAGGCAGGGCGAGAAGAGGCAGGGCGAGGATGGAGGATCCAAGAATCGAGGCTTGAGAATGAACAGCACATGCAACGAGGGTAGAAGCACGAGGTACGATACCATCTTCTTTCTCTTGCGCTGCCTCCCTCGCTCCAGCCCCAACCAATCGCCCGCTGCCGCGCCCACTGAGCGACTTCACCACACGGTTACCACCAGCAGCAGCACCAGCAGCGGCGGCGGCGGCAGCAGCAGTGCCCGCAGCCACAGCACCCCCTTTCCCATCGCTGCCGCTGCGAGTCAAACCTCCCCCTGGCACAGCCCTTGCTCCTGCTGCGCCGTCAGAACCACCTGCCCCAGAACCCGCCTTCCCACCTGCTCCTCCTGCCGCTGCTGCTCCGTCTCCTGCCTCTGCTGCCTTGGCTGGTGCAGCAGACGCTGGTGCCAGCACACCCGTTCCAGTTGCCTTGCCTGTTTCCCCCACGCCACCAGCTGACGCTGGGGCAGGAGTGGTACCAGTGGTAGGAGCAGCGGTGGCAGCAGTGGCGGCGGGGGCAGGCGGGGATGTCTTGGGCGCGTTCCATCTGCGCAGGCGCTTGGCGTCAGGGGGGCGGGGGGACTCCTCCGCTGATGCGGGGGGAGGGAGAGGGGGGGGAAGCGAAGAACGTGGGATGGGGGGAAGGGGGCGGGAAATCGGGAGGGGGAGGAGGAGGGGCGAGAACGGGGAGGAAAGAAAGGGGAGAGGGGGGAGGGGAGGAGCGTGGGAGGAGGAAGACAGGGATGGGATGGTGGGAACTGGGGCGAGAGGAGACGAGGTTTGAGGTTTCGGGTTTAGGGCCGAACGCGCAAAAAATATCAACAGAGCTCAGTCGCACACACAAAATAATGTCCAACCCGCATAGCACAAGTGGCGCGCACAAGCACCCCCGCATACACACACCGCACCATCCTTAAAGACCCCACTCCCCCCCACATTAGCCACCACCTCCCCCCCCATTCATCCGACATGCCACTCACCACCCCCGCCTGACAGTCGCTCCTCCCTCCTCCGCGCTACAACCGCCACATCCTCCCCTGCGCGCTCTCTCTTCCCGTCCGCCCCACTAACCCCCGCGCGTATGACACCCCCCGCCCGCCCCCGCTTCTCCGCCGCGACGCTTTCCTCTCTCCGCGACCCCCCATCTTTCCCCGATTTCCTTTCCGCCAGCGCGGCACCCCCGCGCCTAAGTCCACGCCCTTGCTTTGCGAGCGCCCCCGCTTCCGCCTCCGCCTCTTCCGCTTCCGCTTCTAGCTCCCCCACGAGATCGGTATCCGCCTCTATCATCAAGTCACGTCCCTCCTCCTCTTTCCCCTCCTCCTCCTTGCCCTCCTCGTCTCTCATCTCTTCGTCTTTCTCGCGATCCGTCCCTTTTCCGTCACTCCTCCTTTCCTCGCGAGCCGTTCCCTCCTCGCTCTTCTCATCACCCTTCCTTTCACTCTTCTCCTCATTCTTCCCCTCACTCTTCACACTCTTCTCCTCATTCCTCTCTTCATTCCTCTCATCGTTGCTAACCTCGTCCTTCATTTCAATGTCCTTCTCTGCCTGTCGCCCAGCCTTCTCTCCCTCCTCCGCCTTCTCACCGTTCCCTCTCCCTTCCGTTCCGTCAACGTCCATACCATCCCTCTGCTCCTCCTCCTTCCTCCCCTCCCCCCGCGTCCCTTCGTCGCCCCCTTTCTCCGCCTTCCCCGGTTCCTCCTGCGCCGTCGATATGCCCTCGGCTTCAGATCCGACGGTTCCTTTGTCGTTTCCGGCCTCCTCAGATGCACCTACCCCAGATCCCGGCGCCCCAGGGCCGTCAGATGTGGCAGCAGTGCCGGCAGGGGCGGTATCCGCAGCGGCAGCAGGTGCAGCTACGGAAGGAATAGATGCAGCAGCAGGGGGAGCAGCAGGAGGGGAAGCAGGAGGAGGAGCGGCAGCAGCAGGAGCAGGAGCAGGAGCAGCAGCAGTGGCAGTGGCATCAGCAGGAGCATCTAATGCAGAACCTAACCCCGCACTATCCCCCTTACCCGTATCAGCCATCCCCTCGGCGTACCCATCAGACATTACCTGGTCGTCCCCTTTCGACGTCGTTGCAGCCACTTCGGTTTCCTCCCTCTTGCCCTCCGCAGCAGAAGCAGCAACGGAACCTCCACCATCCCCATCACCATCACTATCACCAACAGCAGCGGCAGCAGCACCACCCGCAGCAGCAGCGGCAGCAGCAGCCGCCGCGCTCCTCTCACCACCTCCATCAGTAGCAGCATCAGCGGCCCTTACCTCTTCTGAACCTCGATCCGATCCCGTTGGCTTATCCTCCTCGCCCTGCTGACCTCCCTCCTTCCCCTGCCGCTCCCGCTCCTCATGCTCAACCTTATCATCGTCTCCTTTACCCTCCTTATCCTCTTTCCCCTCTTTCCCTCCTTTCCCGTCCTTCCCCTCTTTACCCTCCTTCTCTTCCTGGAAAAGCACCACTGGAGTCACCTCGTCACCTTTATCACCATCGCCGCCTCCCTTGCTCGCCCTGCTATCCTCCCCTGCCGCTGCCCCGCCCTTGGCCGTCTCTTCGGCCTCAATCGGCGCCTCCTGCACGTCTGAGCCTGAATCGCTCTCTTGTGCTTTCCCCTCCTTCGCTTTCTCCTCTTGCTGCTGCTGCTGTTGCACATCAGCCACCTTCTGGTCCGCTTCCTGCTGTTGCTGTTGGAGTAGATGCACCCGAAGCCGTTCCGCCAGATCTCGCTTAACGCCCGACAGCGGCAAATTGTGACGCTTTAGCACGCTCTTGAGCTCTGTAACTTTCATGTCCTCGATTGCCTTGCCGCTCACGACGAAACCACTCTTAGGCGTGGCCATCGCGGCGACGTCGCACGACGGCTGCAACGAAGACTGATCCGATCGAGAAGCAGTCTGAAGGGAGAGGGAGCAGATAAGAGGATCACAATCAAGGAGAAGGGACGGAGCGTGCTTGTGGACAGCGGAACCCTAAATGGCTGGACGGAACGAGAATCATGCGTGACTGCTTTGTACAACGACAGCAAATTAGGGTAGCCGACATTGGAATGTTTAAGACGTTTATGATGAAGAGGATGCGTCCAAGAAATAGATCTACCTTCGACAGGTCGAAAAAGAACGAAGCTCAGATTGTCGCTATCAGCGCACGGCCGGAACAAATTTCTCAGGGATGGGGACGCAACCAAGATTTACTAAAAAATACCGAAGCTTGCAGAAGTCAGGATCAACTGATCAGTGTTAGGATGGAGGGGAAGGAAATGGCACTCAAGACGGGTGCCGTGTTCGCGGAGAATGTTCGCGACAGTTCCTTTTGTGGCAAGCTGTTACGGGTGCAATGAATAAGTGTCAAACGAGTACAAAATGTGAGCGAAGGCATAAGCGAACATTTATACGCGAAACATGCAAACGGTAACGCGGTGCGTGCGAGCTAGCTAGTGCTAGGCTGGCATCGAGGCTCAGGCTAGTCCCGAAGCGTAGGCCGACACAGCAGGGCCAGCGGTGCATGGTTTGGTGAAACAGTGCGCGCGAAGTCAGCGAAGCCCCGTTAGCTGTAATGGGCGAACAACGGCTGCTTCTGTACGCGATGTTGCCGGATGCGCCAAGGAATATCGAGAAAAATCCTTACACTACCCACCCCCTCAAGAAGCTCCCTCCGCTACGCGAGTGCGTATATATCGCGGAAACCCCGACTCCTCTGGTACACTTGCAATGCAGGGTGGTTTTCGATGTTGGTAAGGGGCACCCAGCTATCCTCAGTTGGCGTGCGATCCTTCCTGCGAACGAGAAACTCGATCCTCCTGATTCCCGTGGGGTGTCGAATCCGATGGCTGAGGATCTTCTCAGGCTCGATTATCGGCTCCGATGCAGGGCGAGTCATGGATGGCAGGCGGTGAAGAGGCGGTTGGCTTGGGGTTGGGATGTAGGGGCGAAGCAGGCTGACGTGGAATGATGGGCTGATCTACCAGTCTGTCGGGAACAGTAACTGTGTCAGAGGTCCACTGGTGATCCCCGATTGATCCTAGGGAAGGGTTACAGGTACATTGGCCTGGGGGGTTATGGGCGCACTGACCCGCTACTTAACAAGCCCTTTTATCCCAATGGTCTAGTGGTTGGGATTCTGACATGGTATCAGAACGAAGGTCTCGGGTTCGAATCCCGGTGTATGCACTTTGGGCATCCCAGTGCGGGGGGGTGTCAGAGGTCCACTGGTGATCCTCGATTGATCCTAGGGAAGGGTTACAAGCACATTGGCCTGGGGGGTTATGGGCGCACTGACCCGCTACTTAACAAGCCCTTTTATCCCAATGGTCTAGTGGTTGGGATTCTGACAAACTGGGCAGTCACTGGGGTGATCATGTGGCTGATTTGGAATGGTCCACATTAGCGTGGTCATAATTTTGGTACGACGGGCAGTCTTAAGTTCTGTGTGTCGAGCAGTACGTAATCTCCTGACTAGTACGTGACTGGGCGACGGTGGCGGTCAGCGTTGCGTTTGGCGATGACATTTGCTTTTTTTATTGCTTACGCGGCTCTGGTTCGGGCAGCCTGCAGAATCTCGGCGAATTGCTGTGTACGTAGTGTGGGGTTGTCCAGACTCGGCGTCATGGGCACTATAGGGTTTCGCCCGTAGTTCAGGTAAAACGGGGATTGTTGCATCGTCGCTGACGTGGCGTTGTTGTACGCGAACTCGATCAGCGGCAGCTGCTACTCCCAAGTTGTCGGGTCGTCGCACGTGGCTCGAATCAACTGCTCCATTTTCTGGTTCGTCCGTTCCGTTTGACCATCGGTCTCGGGGTGATACGATGAGCTGAACTGTAGCCTGTCCCGAACTGCTCCCAAAGGTTCTTCCAGAAATTGCTGGTGAACTTCGTGTCGCGGTTGCTGATTATCGCGGCTGGTATCCCGTGCAGTCGAAAGACGGCTGCGATGAACAAGCAAGCGGTTTCTTCGGCTGAGATCGACTTTTTGCACGCAACAAAGTGTGTCATCTTCGTCAACCTGCCAAAGACGACCATAACCGCGTCGTTACCCCCAAGGTTCTAAGGTTACCCCGTGACGAAATCCATGGTAACTTGCTGCCAGGCGCGCTCGAGCGGTGGAATCGGCTGTAATTGACCCGCCTTTCTTTTTCGCGAGCTCTTCATCACATGACACGTAGGACACGAGCCCACGTGGTGCAGTACGTTGGTCAACAGCTCCAGCAAGTAGTAATACCGCCGCAGTTGCTGTCGCGTCTTTTCTACCCCAAAATGTCACGAGCTAATTCTGTCGTGTGCCTCTTGCAGTAACAGTTCCCTCAGTAGTGAGTACGCGAGTACCCAGAGGCAGTTGTTGCCTGTCTTTACGTAATAGACTCCTTTAGCTTCTATCAATTGCTGTAAATTTTCGGTCGTGAAAAATGGGTCGGTACTGTATTCGTGGGTGAATATGGTTGTTAACAACGGATTGGAATGGGCGAGTAGGATGGCATGGAGTTGGGCTGTGGGGCGTGTGAGTGCGTCGGCGATACTTGATGCGCCTTTTTTGTACGTGAATGTGTAGTGGAAGTTGGACTCCAGATAGTCCAACCAGCGGATCTGTCGCGGGTTGAGATTCGGTTGGGCGCGAAGGCACTGTAGTGATCGGTGGTCTGTCCGTACTGTCACGTCTGCTCTCGTGAGGTAACATCGCCACACCTAGAACGCGTGCACGATCGCCAGCATCTCGCGGTCGTGTATCGCGTAGTTGCGTTCGGGTGGGTGAAGCTTGCGGGACTCGTACGCGATTGGCTGGAGGCCGTTCCCGAAATCTTGCAACAGTACTGCTCCCACGACGTTGTCACTAGCATCGGTGACGAGCTCAAACGGACGGTGCAGATCTGCGATGTGAAGCACGGGCGGCGATCACAAAATTTTGTGAAAGAGTGAACGCGAAATGAATGAACTATGAGTGAAGAGGGTACAAGTACTAACCCTAATTGGGTTGTACCCCCTATGGGATACCCCACTATAGCCTACACAAAAGCATAAGCTATAATGTTCTGACACACCCCCATAGGCAAAGTGGGGGAGAACAAGGGGTCACAAGACCAGTCAAGCAAAGCAAAGCAAAACAAGCTCAGGGTGGATCACAACGTCACCACACAGTCTGGGTGAGCAAGTGAGGTAAGACAGGCACAAGCCCCAGCTGGGTGCAAAAGCGCTGATGGTCACAAGGCGCGAGTGCCTTGGTGAACACATCAGCAGTGTTGGCCTCAGAGGCCACGTACGCAAGTCGCAACTGACCACGCTGCTGCAGCTCACGAGCAAGGAAGTAGCGGAGAGCAATGTGCTTCGTTCTGTGCTCCAAGCGCTGCTCTCGACACAAGGCCAGCATGGCCTTGTTGTCTACGTACAGCACTGGAGGAGAACGAGGCGGCTCTCCAAGGTCAGTCAGCAGGTAGGTGAGCCAGCGAAGCTCCTGTGCAGCCATGGCCCCGGCGTAGATCTCAGCCTCACAACTGGAGCCGAGAACCGAAGACGAGCGAGTAGACCGCCACGAGACAGAGCCGAAACCAAGGCTGAAGGTGTAACCCTGTGACGACCGCTGCGTAGCCTGGTCGTCAGCCCAAGAAACGTCCGCGTGCCCAGTGAGGACCACTGGACTCCGCCCTCCAAGCACTAGCCCCATGCCCGACGTACTGCACAAGTAGCGCAACACCCTCTTCGCTGCAGCCATGTGCTCTGGTCGGTGTCTCCTAGGAGCAACATAGCGTGCCAAGATGCTAAGACGGTATGCAAGGTCAGGTCGTGTGCAGGTCATCAGGTACATGAGGCAGCCAACAAGCTCTGGGTACGGGCCACTCGACTCTACGGACTCATCCGAAGGCAGAGCTGAGAGCGAGTGGCGAGTAGGCAGAGGAGTGGCGTGAGGCGAGGAGTACATGAAGCCAAAGCGCTGAAGGACCTGCTGCACCATGTGTGACTGAGTCAAGGTAATGGTGCAGCGTGCTCTGTCCCGAGTGATATGCAAGCCAAGGTAGCTGCGCAGTTCACCCAGGTCTGTGCACGTGTGTCTCTTCTGCAGCTCGGACTTCACGTAGGCGAGTCCAGCAGTGTCCGCTGTGGCAAAGACCAAGTCGTCGACGTACACGAGGATGTAGAACGGCGGTAGAGAAGTGTCGGTGCGCAGAAACAACGACGGGTTAGCAGTAGAGGGAGCAAACCCAAGAGCCGCAAGCGTAGTCCTCAGTGTGTCGTGCCACTCACACGGTGCCTGGCGGAGACCGTAGACTGGCCGCCGGAGGCTCCACTGGGTGCCAGGAGGGAAAGTCCCAGTGAAGCCAGGTGGACGGCGCAGCCAGATCTCCTCGTGCAGGCTGCCCTGCAAGAAAGCAGTGCTGAAGTCAAGAGAGTGGAGCTCGTAGTCGCGCTGAGCGGCTATGTGCAGCAGCATCCGAAGAGTGGTCATCTTCGGGGTGGGAGAGAAGGTCTGAAAGTAGTCAACTCCCTGCCGCTGACTGAAGCCACGAGCCACGTACCGCGCCTTGAAGACAGGTGGAGAGCCCGGCGGCCGCTTCACCCTGAAGATCCACATCCCACTGACGATGTTCGCCCCAGGAGGGGGAACCGCGTCAACGTAGGTGCCTGTGGACTTCCAGGAAGCCATCTCTGCATCCATAGCTGCCTGCCACTGAGAGGAGTAGGGACCCTCTACGGCCTCCGCGTAAGAACGCGGAGTCGGGATGTCTAGTGCATCCGGGTCTCCCTCAGGGGCAAGCAGTACAGACGCGAGATGAGGTGAAGCAGCAGCCAGACACTGGAACTCCTCCTGCCAGTCCTCAAGGACGTCCGTGCCAAGAGCACACTCACCCCCGACGGACG